GCTACTTGCCCTCTCTGCTTGTTTCCTGGTCTACAATGGGGCAATGGGGACAATAGTACCTATCTAATAGGGTCATTATGCCAGTGAATAGAAGAATTCAAGGGATGTTGGGAGGAACAGGAGGAGGAAGCAGAAGAAGCAGAAGAAGCAGAGCAGAAGAAGAAAGACCAATAAGAACACAGGCAGGAAAAGAAGAGAATGACAGTGATAATTATTATGTGGCATAGATGCCAGGGGAGGAGGGCAGAGTAGTGATGACATGAGGTTCACTCTTGTGGGCAGAGAAGCAACAGTCAGACACAGTCTAGGGAGGGAACATGACGTCGTCTGGGCCCTCACAGAGAAAAAGAGGCACGAGAAGCTAGGGCCACTGGAGATGGCTGCAAAGGGAGTGCTATTCCAGGAGCAGCTCAGAGGTGTGATGAGGAATCTGGAATGGGGCCCACAAATGCTGTTTCTGCAGTCAGAGACATGCTGCAGGCCCTGCCTTGAGTCTCCTCAAAGGGGAGGTAGTACCCAGGCTGGGCTCCTCCTGGGCAGAGTCTTCTCAGGCCCTAGCACAGAAAAGGCTCAGGTGAAGATGGACATCCAATCCCCATCTTGGGCCTGGTCCAGCGAGGCCTCATATTCAGATATGGTAGCCCTGTTTACCCTGTGGATTTCTCAGACTGCTTGCCCAGCTCTGCTACTGTGTCATTAGGAGGCTCAGTCTGTTTTGAGAGTTTTGGTTTCTGCCTCTTTTGAGATCACTGCCTACATCGGGGCCGACAGCCTAGACAAAAACGCTTCATGCCTCAGTGCAACAGGGCTTTCTAACTGTAACACCACCACCAACAGTAGAAAATAACAAGTAACATTAAAAACTGCCCTAGATGGGGACTTACTAGGTTCTCTGTGCTTCTCTGTTTCACCTTATATAATTTTAAAACAATCTTAAAAGATGGGTAGTACCCATTTCTATTGTGAGGCTAAATCTAAGGGGGCAAATAATCTGTCAACTGTGACCTTAGCTAATAAGTACCAGGCTCTAAATGTAAACCCAAGTCTATAATCACATCATGGCCTAAGCAGTTTCCCTTCTCTTAAAACATGTTGCTCCTGAAACCACAGCCCTAGTCCCCTGAACATGAATGGAGGCCTCAGCTGGCCTCTGTGATCTTGCCCTTTTTTCTTCTTTCCCAAGAAACTGACTTACTGCTGAAGATCAACTCTTTGTCAAAACTATACAGGGGCCGCTGGGGATTTAGCTCAGCGGCATAAGCGCCTGCCTTGCAAGCAGACAGTCGTGAGTTAGATCCCCGGTACCGATAAAAAAGGAAAAAGACAAAAAAAAAAAAAAAAAAAACTATACAGGGGCCAAGCCCCAGCTCTCATGCCCTTCCTTCCCCATGCAAGCCTGGGACCATACCACACTAATCCAGCCTGGCAACGAGGTGGAAAGCTCTGCCCTCACCTCACCATCATTTCAGGGCACAGGGTTCCTTCTTCTGGACAGTGGATGGGGCATCTCCAGCCTCCATCCATCACCGGGAGGAGGACGAATAGCCCACAGCATCTGAGACATACAGCAGCATACTCATGATGCACTGCTGGCACTGTGCCCTGCTCAGTTAACCTAGTATTATTCAGTGTCCTAAATGGAGTGTGGTCTCTCTGGGACTCTGCAAACGCTGTTCCCTTTGCTTATAACACCTTTATCTGCCTTACTCCTAACTCTTCTTTTAAGGCCAGCTCAGCAGTGCCTTCTCCAGGAGGCCTTCTCTTGCCCCCTTCCCAGACTGCTCCCAGGACTGCGTTAGCATCTCCCAACCATGATACCTGCTACACTGCACCACCAGTGTAGTTTCAGGACTGTCACTTCCACTAGACTATGAGCAACTTTGGGTCGGGAGGAGTGTTGATTCATCTCTGGATTCCCAGGATGCATGGGGGGATGGCAGCAGGCAGGCTTCCCAGGAGAGGTGCACAGGAGAGGAGCTGGAGGCTGCACCCTCAACTACTGGGATCCACTCTCTCTCCTGCCCTCATTTCCCTCGCTACTGACCTGTCTACAGGTATTTTTCTGAGATGATCTGAGCACACATGGTCTTCTAGGAGCTTCTATTCCTGCATGCTAACTTGGTAAAGGTTCTTTGGATGGGAGACAAAGAGCCTTTTGATAACTTGCTTGGAGTGATCTGTACTACTGTCTAGTGAATTAAGGAACCAAAGAGCCATACATGGTGAAGAGGACGGCTCCTGGCTGGGTAAGGGAGTAGAGATATTTGGTCACCTTGCCCGGACCATACCCCAGCAGGCCTCCAGGTACCAGCATATACTGTGAGTGACTGCTTATACAGCTAGCAGCAGGCAGCACCTGTGATTGAGGCTTAACACCTGTTCCAATCTTGCCCAGTCAGGCCTTGGCTCCAGAATTGAGCTGCTTCTTGCCAGAATTTTGCAGGTGAGGTTCCAGACAGGTGCAGAGCTTGCCAGCAGCCTGAGGCTGCATAGCTAGAAACACCACTGCAGCAGCAAGTCTGGCCTGTGGCAAAGCACCAGACAGAAGCAGCCTGGCTCACAATCACCTGGCTCTCAGTAGCCAGAGAAGTGAAGCAGAGCGTGGGTCTGTCCTGGAAATGCCTTGAGCTTGAGGTAGAGAAAGGTACAAAAGTAGGGGGCCTCTGAGGTAGCAAGGAATCCAAGCAAATTCCACTCTGGATAATGGGAGAGGTCAAGTCTTGGCATTCCCCTGGCAGCTCACTCCAAAGGGCTAAGTCTTTTTGTGACCCTGGTACCAGGGAAGGCCTACTGTACTGTACAGGACTCATCTCTATCTCTCCTTTTCCCCTTCCCATTCACCCCTGCCCACCCTGGGATAGAATTTTCACTCATACAAGGCTGGTCTTGGACCTGAAAGTACCTTTCTGCTGTAGAATCTTTTTTGTTTTTTTTTATCGGTACCGGGGATTGAACTCACAATTGCCTGCTTGCAAGGCAGGTGCTTATGCCGCTGAGCTAAATCCCCAGCCCCTACTGCTGTAGAATCTTGACCTGCCTGGGCTGGGAGCTTCTCAGTCTTCCTGCTATCTGTGTCTTCCAACTGGAGCCGGCTTCCCCCGCCCCTTCTTTCTTTCCTTTCTCCCTTGGATGAACTATAGGAACCCTGACTTGACTGACCTCTTGGTGCTCTTGGAAGGAACCAGCAGCAACATCCACCGGGCTGGTCTGGACCCCTATGGCTTGCCTTCCTTATCTGGACTGCCTGGTTTTTTCCCAGTCCACCTAGCAGGAAGTGGGAGCTGGTGTTTGAACAAATTCCAGATTATTTATGGTGACTGGGTGCTGAGAGGCAAAAACCAATGGGATCAGGGCACTGCCCTGAGGGAAGCCTGGGGTCCTGACAGGTGTCCACAGGCAGAGAAAAGAAATGTCAAGAGGGTATGAGCATATGGGCAGAAGACCAGGGTGAAAAAGCAGCCCCGGCATCCCCAGGGCTCACTAAGGCAGGCTTAACTTGTCTCATTTCTCCCTTCAGAATGTTTCCCTGTGACTCCAATTCTATTGCCCTCAAGGCAAAGAGAAGGACTCGGTGGTCACTGATGACTCATGCCTGAGGGTTCTGAGAACAGGGCTGCTCTCATCTCCTGACTGGTTGTGTGGGCCCTGGGCCTTACTTAAAGCTGAAGCTGTTTAAAGCCAAATGATCGCCCTGCTGCCTCCTTCAGCCTGGTTCCAAGATGGGCCCACTTACTCTACTGTTTACCTACCTGAATTTCTGGACCTGACTTCTGTCTTCTCTCCTGCTTGCTACCTACTTGACACTGCCTGAGCTTGGCCTTGCTTGGGAAAGGGCTGTGGAGTTAAATCAAATTACACTGAGACTTTCCCTGGCAAGTTAAGCTGTTCCCACCCCCAACTCTCCTCTAAACCTCCAGCAAGAACTAGCTTCTCAGTGTAGGCAGAGGGCCATCTTTCGTCAATCTCTGGAAAGAGGCTTGGGTATTGAAGATGAATGACCTGAGTGGTGCAGCACTCCTCCCTCGGGGTGGCTGGTGACAGACAGCTGGAGGGGGGTTATAGATGCAGATAAGTTGGCAGGTTTCCCTGCAGACCCGGAGCTGGGGAACAGGTCTCAGGAGGGGCTTCATCGGGTGGTCTACTAACAAGCTGTCTCATACCACCCCGCCACAGGAGCTCCCTAAAGAAATGAGCCCAGGCACTTGCCTGTCTAGAAGAGTAACTACAGAATCTGATCATACCCAAAGAGTAAAACTAGACTATGGCACTTTGAGGACCCAGCAATAGGGTAGTTGGAAGGTTACAAAGAGAGAGGTCCAGACTTAAAAGCTTGGAAGCTCTGGGGCTGGAGATTTAGCTCAGCGGCGTAAGTGCCTGCCTTGCAAGCAGGCAGTCGTGAGTTCGATCCCTGGTACTGATAAAAAAGGAAAAAGACAAAAAAAAAAAAAAAAAAAAAAAAAAAAAAAGCTTGGAAGCTCAAATCGAGGAGTCTACTGTCCCTGAAGAATGGCCTGAGGACTCAAATAAGGCCTTGCTCCTGAGACTGGGAAAGAGGGAAGGACCCATAAATCCAGAGTCAGAGAGATCTCAGAGGCACAGTGACAGGCAGCCACAGACAGGGCCAAGGCAATGAAGCATGCAGACTGCAAATAATCCTAGGGGTGGACTTAAAAATAAGAGCTTTCCTTCCTTGGGGAATTAAGGCTATGGAAGCTCAGGACTGTTGGTTCTGACTAGAAGAGGCTGAGAAAGGGTGTGCACACGGAAATCAAAAGGCAGGCAGCACATATCGAGCATTTTAGCTCCCGGTATCTGGCTAGGGACTCCTGGTCTCCACCTCTGGTGCATTTGCATTTTTCATCTTTGAGTCATCACTGTTTCTTTTGAAGGCTCCTACTTGTTCTTTGTGAGGCTAAGGTGGAAGGGCCTAGCTTGGAAGCTGGGGAGGCCAGAGCAAAGCCCAGGACAAGAGGGAAGGAGCTGGAGCCAGGGCAGCTTACCACTCTCTCCTTGTAGACGATGTACTTCAACCACTTGAAGTCCTGCCACTTGAAGCCAGCAAGTACAAAGAGAGAATCACGCTCATACTGCTCAGGTCTCTGCATGGCGCCCTCTGGGTAGGTGATGCGCAGAGTTGTTTTGCTGCCCACATCTTTCTCAAAGCCCTTCACTGGTGCTGAGTTCAGTCTACAGAGAGCAGGCCCAGTCAGAGTCTGCGTTGGGCCATGTGTGGGAAGGCACTGACTCCAGAATACCCCAGGTGCAGGGAATGGGGCATCTAGGTCACTTCAAAGCCCACCAACCCAACATTCTTGAGGCTGCCATTGAGCTCCAGCCCAAGTGGCTAGATGGACTAGCATGTTCTTGCTGGGCTAGAGGGTCAAGGGTTGGGCTGACCAGCACTCAGGCGTCCAAGGTGTTGCTTTGGGGAGCTCACCTGACCACAATGTCATAGTCGTCAATTCGAGAACCCAGAGACTTGTTGGCAAGGACACCTCCATTGCCCACGATGATACAGCGGCGGCAGCGGAGGCTGAGGGGAGAGAGAAAAGGAGGCCTGTGAAGAGCTGGTGCCAGGCCTCCCTTTGTCCCTTTGGTCCTTAACTCACACTGTTGGCCAGCACCAGGATGGGGTAGAAGAAGCCCAAAGGCTCCTGGCAGCAATTCTTAGAGGAATCCAGCATCAGGCTGCAGTGAGCTGGGCCCTGGGACTCTTCCAACGCCCCTAATTCTTAATACTTTCCAAGAGAAACGTATGTACAGAAAATTTGGGAATGAAGCAGGGAGGTGAGGAGGGGACTCTGGTAAGATGGCATTCAAGGGTAAAGATTCCCTAAGTGGGGCTGGGGATTTAGCTCAGTGGTTTGAGTGTTTGCCTGGTAAGTGCGAGGTCCTGAGTTCGACTTCCCCAGTATGATTCTCTAAGGGTTTGTGGGGTTTAGACAGCCTTAGGGGACATGGAAATGGGCTGAGCTGTACCAGGTAAACAAGAACAGGGGAAGAGACTTGAGGACTTGGTTTATTTTCAACTTGGAAGTGTCCAGACCACCAAGAAGTGGTTTTGTTTGTCCCCAGTCCTGACCCTGGAGCTTCCTAACTCCTTGTCCATTGCCTTCAGCGCTATTCTGCCCCCAAATGTAAAGCTGCTCACCATCAAGACCTCAGTCCCCTTGCTGGGCTGATCCTGACCCTACAGCCTTTAGCTTGTAGACTTCTGATGTCGAGCCGAGATGCCTTGCCAAGTGCTGCCGGCACCCAGAGGTGCAAGGCCACTTACCTGCTTCACTCACCCCCGTGTGCACCTCAACACTTCTGCATCTGCTAGCAGCTAGGGGGAGGAAGCTCACCTGTCCAGGGCAGGGGTCAGTCGGTACTCTTTGGTGACTGACAAGATGGCTTTGATTAGATTGTCTGTGGACAGAGGAGGGAAGCAATTGTTAGCGTGTTACTTAATTCCTCTAAAATGTTTGCCTCTTATTCTGCTCAAAGGCACAAGTTATTGGGGCCAGAGCAAATGTAGAAAAGTAGGGAGAAGAAGCTCTGGGTATAAGGTAAGGTCTGGCTACCATCTTAACACTTAATAGCTTACCTGGAGCATCACTCAGGCTGTGTGTTTATGTACTATCCTGAGTGATGCCTGGGAAGGTGTCATTTCAACCAGTTGCTTCTTGTTTGCCTAAGATATATTCGTAATTGTTATACTTATATTATTCTATAAAAATTAATGAAACAAATGCAATTTTTGGTCATCCTGTATTCAAACAATTGAACTGTTTAACTCTCTCCCTTGAGAAAGGAGATGGAAATAAGTCAAGCAGGCATATCTCTGCCAGGAGCCAGTTCCTAACACAAGTGTGCATGTCCTTTCCAGGGCTTCTTCACTCCCATGGAGACTCATCTGGTTTTCAGAGGCTCTGCAGTTGGGCCTCAGGATGTGTGTCACTAGGCTGAGATGGGGTCTACGCTGGAAATTATAGTCCCTGCTCAGAGACCACAGGTGTTCATCCCTGTGCCCCAGCAAGCAGATACCTAGGAACAAATGGGGGGACAACAGTGATGAAGAGCTTACCCACGGTAGCCTTGGTTTCTGATACCAACAGCTTTCCCCATGCTACCTCCTTTTTGCATAGCTAATCTCTAATCCTGCCCTTTGCCAGGCTACCTTTCCGTCCTCCCCTCGTTGGCCCCTACAACATGGCATCGGCTCAGCTGTACTCTACTCGGACTCTAACCACTATTCAGAACACTCATTGTTGGCCTCTCTTTGGCGTAGCAGTGGCGATTGTTTTCTTTTCAAACTCTGGTATCATTACAGCATGGCAATGTAATAAATAAGGAATGTTTAGTGAAGGTATTGATTGTGGAGTTAAATCCTTGCTCTGTGATCTCATGTAAATGACTTACTTTCTTTGAGATTCAGTTTCTTCATCTCTAAAATGAAGATGGTAACTTCTGCTTCTCAGAGTTGTTAAGATAATGTAGGTAAAGATAATGTAGGTAAAGACCTAAAGATCAGTTGGTGCCCCTATAGTGGAGAGCACTTACTGATGTCAAATAAGGATGTTAGGTATGTATGACTAGGACCCTGCGACTCTATACCTAGAATCACAGCACTGCAGAACTTACCTACTTGTTCAAAGTGGCCTATAAAAGAATGTTCACTGCAGAAATGTTTGTAGTAGTGAAATACTAAAAGTGACCCAAATATTCACAGAGGGAAAACAGACTACATGTAGCACACAAAGTACTACACAGCCACACACATGAAATATTACTGAGCCCCCCAAATTAAATCAATCATTTAGAACTATGTGTACCACTAAACATAATTAAAAAATCAATTTGAAGAATTTATACACAATGATACCGTGTATAGTTTAAAATCACACACTATATATATATATATATATATATATATATATATATATTTTTTTTTTTTTTTTTTTTTTTTGGTCTTTTTCTTTTTTATCAGTACCAGGGATCGAACTCACAACCACATACTTGCAAGGCAGGTGCTTATGCTGCTGAGCTAAATCCCCAGCCTCCACAAAATATATTTTAATGGATATATATATATATATATATATATACACATACACATGTGTACACACACACACGCACTCACACAGAGTATATGGATGTCAACATAAAAATCTTCCTTCCACCTAGAGGAAGGAAGAGCATGGAATGGAAGAGCTACACAGTTGTTTTACTTTAGCTCAAACTTCATTTCTTAGGCTGAGTAGATGGTGTATTATTCCTTATACTTTTTTGTCTGCCTGAGATTTTTTCATGTATAGAAAGGAGGCCTCTTATACACACAGACACACACACACACACAGACACACACACACACATACACACACACACATATTCATTCACAGGACAAGGGATTGTACCCAGGGCCTCCCACAAGCTAGGCAAGTGCTCTACCACAGAGCCACACCCTGGCCCCAGGCAATTTATAAAAAGAGGGGCTGGAGACACTGTCAGGTCTAGGCCTGAAAAGCATTCTTTATAATTCACTGAGACATCAAGTAGCTGTCCTGGAATGGTAGGTAAGAAGATATTCTTTAGGAGGACATGTTAAGTAAAAGCAGGCAGCAGGCACAGTCAGTCTTTCCAGAAGCTGAATGAGAACCAGGGTAAAGAACAAACCCTTAAGGGATGTTCTATACCAGGTGCCTTCAGATATCTTACAGTGAGCTTCAGGGAAGGAACCATACCCTCTCCCCAACTGCCTTTAAAGAGCATATTACTACTAATTGGCCCAGGTCAAGGACGTGAATACAGGTAGGGACTCTTTAAAAGAAAGGGGACACACAGGTAACTCAGTGCTCTTACTGGCCAGTGGCCTTCTTTGGTCTTTGTGTCTGCATGATCAAGTTTCAACTAGATTTAGGAAAAAAGCATAGGCCGTGTGGCTACATGTACCAAGGAAACAGGCTGCACACGGCTCAACCTAACTCATTAAATATGTTCTTGGAAGCTGGGGGTCCAAGTTCCAGTGTGACAGATTTTTTACTGGCCACGATCTTCTTTCAGGGAGAAGTGAGCTGGCTCAGTGAGTTTAAGTATTCTTGAGTCTCCTGGCCAATGATATCACCATTTCAACAGTTATCTCATTTAATTCTGACAACAATCTTATACAATAGTACCACTTTCTACATCTAGGTGATGAAAACACTAAAACACTTTAAGTATCATATCTGAGGTCAAAGTTAATAAAGAGGTAGTATATGGGTCTGATCCCCTGTATCTGTCCCTAAAGCCTCCACTCTTTTCTACCAGGCCGTGAAATAGCATGGTAACTTGACAAAGAAGTGTAACTTTAGGAATATAAAAAAGTCTTAATTTAGGAGGAAACTATATGGGAAAAGTCCTTAAGGTGATGAGGGAAATAGTTTCTGAGAATACAGGAGACAGGCTAACTTTGGACAGCATGGAAGAACCACTGGAGAGGAGTCTTGGTTAGAATGAAAGGTGAGGATAAATGGAGGGGCTTCAGGCATTTCTGAGGGCTGACCCTGTGTTCCCCGTTATCCCTTGTGCCCTAAGATGATGTCTCCTCTGTGATCTCACAGCTCCTTGCACTACCCCCAGCAGAGCCTTTTTATCTTGTACTTTGAGTACCCGTACCTCCACTAGACCAGAACTTTTTGAGGAAAGGGACATCTCTCTATGTCATTGTTGTAATACCCACCTCTGGCAAAGTGTCATGCTCTGAGTCAATATTCTATTAAAGAAGTATGAGAAAAGGAGGGAAGGAGAGAAGGCATGTTAAGAGTACAGTGTGGATTAATCCTTAGCATGGGGACTTTTGAGGATGTAATTTTGTTCTGAAGTACTGGAGACAGCCTGGAGAATGAAAGTTAATACAATTTGGGTTTTGCAACATACCTTGACCTTTGATCCCAAAAGGTGGTACAAACTCCCGAATCCTAGCCCACTTGCGAAAGGAGTTATCCAGGAACATGGGTGCTGGCTTGGAGAACCTGAAATGCAACAGGACTTTTGAGGATCACAAAATGCAAGACTGGAGTACAGGTTGGCTCTTCTGTGCAATGTCTTAGCAAGGGGTCTGCAGGAAACCACCTCCACATTCCAGCATATCCTCCCGGTCCCAGCCTGGTCATTGGGGAGCTGCTGGTCTTGCCGAGGGGAGTGTGAGTGTGAGGGAGCAGGCCTGCTTAGTCTTTATTTGGCCAGCTGTACAAGTGGAGGGACAAGATCTGCTCAGTAAGGCTTAATGGCTCAGAGCTGGAAGTTATCTTGCATCTATCTACAGTCAGTGCTGCCTACTTTGTTCCTGCAGTCTGGAAACACAGGATAAGACATGGTCCAGTGAGCAAAAAAAATATCCAGAAATACAGCCAGTGCAAAGAGTCATAATTTTGGAGACGATTAGACCACCCAGGACAAGGAAAAAGAATTCACGGTGAAAGGGCAAAGCAAGGCAAAGTTACAGGAAACAGATGCTTGGTAATGAAGAGAAAGAAAAGCCAGTCATGTGAATAGGAGGCAGTGCTGAGAGGTTTTCTAGCCAGCAAGAATTGGGGTGCATTTGTTAGTGAAGAGAAGGGAAGAGGAATCCTAAGTTTCTGTGGAGCTAGTGAAAGGGCCTGGACTGTGAGGGCAGGAACTCATTTTTTGGCTGGGAGGAGATGGGAGTTACAAGGGCAGAGAAGAAGGCAAAGTGATGTGGAGCGGGGGAGGTAAGAAAGGCAGGTTTCAGCTTAGAAGAGAGGCACAGAGGAAAGGTATAGGAGCCAAGCTCTTCATAGATGCTTGGAGAATATGATTGACCCAGAGCCTAGCATCCTGTCTGAGGTCCTTCCCAGGCACTGGCAGCTCAGAAATGCTGTGGGCCTGCTCCTGGCCAAGGACTATGGACTCAGAACTCAGGGCCTGTTTCTTATATTTCTAATTCAGCCCAATGAGCCCCATGAATAACTGAGGCTACACAAAAGTCCTCTGGGCCTGGAAGCTAGAACTTCCCCCTAACATACCTTATGCACAAGCATCTATCTGTTTCCTTCCTCACCATGGCCAACACCATGTTACCACAACCCCAGCAGGAATGAGGTCAGTAATTACTCAAAGGTCTAATATTTTTTGCCTCTGACATGATCTTGAAAGAGGAAGAAAATGTTTGACCCTGCTGCAGCCTCCATGACTTTGACTGTTGCTAAGAAGGTCTGAACAGTCAGCAGCAGTGATGCTGCCAGGCTTTGCTGTGCAGTGGCTTCCCTTGGCTTCTGGGTTCTGACAGCCACGTTAGTGCCCTTCCCCCATGGACAAGGATAATGCCTATTTCTTGTGACTAATATAAAAAATCTAAATAAATTAATATACGTAAGGTCTAACCAGAGGCACTGGCCAGGGTCTCTCACAAGACCCTATACATCAAAGAAAACACCGTGGATCTGCCTGCTCCATGTCCCACTTCTCTGTGTCAAAAGTGGGCTTATAAAATCTTTGTAAGATTTCAGTCAAGTTTGACAGGATTTTGTCTGCTTCCCAATGTGTAATGAATATCATAAGTTAATAAAGTCTCCTAAGATCTAACCCCTTGAGCTCAATCTATATTTCCTTTTTCTCTTTCCATACACCTTCTCTTTTACATTATTAGAAAGCTAATTGTTATTTTTAAAAGTATTTTTTAAAAACTGGACATAGAACTACACACCTGTAATTTAAAAATTCTAGTAGGCTGAGGTAAGAGGACCACAAGTTCCAGCCTAGACTGGCAACTTAGGAAGCAAGAAAAGAGGAAGGAAGGAAGGGAGAAAGGGAGGAAAGGAGGAAGCGAGGGAAGGAAGGATGGGAAGACTGGTCTTGAAATTATGACAATCCTCCTGCCTCGGCTTCCTGATTGCTGAGATTATAGGTGTGTCATCACGCCTGCCTAATTCTGCTTTTTTATTGAGTCTTTTCCTCCAATTTAGTATAATCTTGTTGTATAATATTATAAAGATTTACAGTTTCCAAACTGAATCCCAAACGACTATATTCAAGACTTGCTTTCATCTCTTGTCTGTCCCCTGCTACTTCTGTTACTACACAGTATTCATTTTTACTCGTTTTTTATACTTTTGGTATAAGTTATATATGTATATATATATATATATATGTATATATTTTTACTTCCTGCTGTATTCACTGAAAGGTAACATACTATACATACTGGTTTGCCTATTGATTTTTTTCCACAAGCCTATATCTTGATGATTACCACACAGTATTTAGATACTTGATAATACTCCATGATGGTTATGTATCACACTCTACTCTACTCAATCAGTCCCTGGCTTGTTTTTAGTGTTTTGTAAAGTAGGCCCCATCAGCAGCAGTTACCACAAATAACTTCACACATAGTCTTTTCTACTTGCCAATGTATCTTTGGAAGAGATTCCTAGAAGTGGGTTTGTTAGATCAACAGGAAAATGCATACACGGAATCTTGTTCCAATTGCCAAATTCCTTGCTACTTGAACTGTAGCATTCTGTAATACCACCAAAAATGTATAAAAATGTTATTCCCTCAACACCCTCATCAACCTTGTCAAACACTTCAACTTTGCCAGATAAAACAAAATAGCCTCTCACTGTCATTTTAATTTGCACTTCTCTTGGATGTTGTTTTGAGGCAGTGTGTTGCTATGTTGCCCAAGCTGGTCATGAATCCATGGGTTCAAGTGATTCTCCTGCCTCAGCCTCCAGAGTGCCAGGATTATAGGCGTGTGCCGCCACACCTGGCTAGGTTTTCCTTTTCTGAAGCTTTTTATATATTACTGTAAATATATAAGCCTTCTGAGATACAATTATAAATATTTACCTAGTTTGTTTATATATTTGCCTTGTGGTGTCTCTCACTTCCTTATTTTTTTCAAAAACAATTCAAATTTATCAATCTTTTCCCTTATAGCTTCTGGATTTTAAGTCTTAGGAAAGATTTCTTTATTTTAAGGTTACAGAGAATTTAATACATATCTTTTTCAGTACTTGTATGTTTTTTCTTCTCACACTTGAATCTGTTATCCATGGATCTGTATCCATTTTGGTCAGTATAAACAGTGGATCTGAGGGCCAGAGATTTGGCTCAATGGTGTAAGCGCCTGCCTGGCAAGCGCAAGGTCATGAGTTTGATACCTGGTACCAGGGGGGGGAAAAAAAAAAAAAGGCTGTGATTTTGTCTCTTTCCATGTGACTATCAAATAACTACCTACTTTAGGACTATCCTGTGGCCCTTCATCTTTTAGGTGATTTCCTGTTTTTATTTTTTTTCTCTCCTAGTTATCTTTGCTTGTACCACTGATTATAGGCACATGGATTTAAGAACGTTTCCTACTATTCCCTTGTTTCAATTTGTGCCTAGCTCCATCCTCCTCCTCCTTCCCTTCCAAGCAGGCTTTAAAGGTGAGAACAAGGACCTGGCCTGTTTGACCCTCTTTGTTTCACAAGAACTCCCAGGAAGGACAGTAGATAGCAGAGGCTGTAACGATCACAGCAGGCATGTAGTCCTCCCTGGGGTCATCATCGCCTCTATCACCACCACACCAGCATCACCTTTTCATCTACCTTCATCAGCTTTCAATAAATCATCTACTGGCTCTGCAGTGTTCACTAAAGGTGTTAGCATCTGTCTTACTTTCCACGCAAACCCAATTTTTGCTGATTATTTTCAGAAATTTCAACATCTGAAAACTCTGGTCTTGCATAATTTCCTTGACTTGAGTCACTCCCTTCTCTACTCCACATTAGCTGCTACTCAACTCCACGGCCACACTCTGGACCTAACAGCAATCTCTGATTCTTTCTGCACACAACCTCCTAACATTCTATTTCTCTCTCTCCTTTGCTTTCACCAAGGTCTCCCCGACTTCTGCACACACCTCTAGTCTATTCCTTCTCCTGTGTACACTGCAGGTATCTCCTCTTTCCCTCCTGCAGGACCCATGACCCCTTGATTCCTTGTCTTTTTGTCCCATTCATTAGGCAGAGGTTAATCTAACCCTATACTATTGTACCTCTTATACTTGAGATGCTTTGAGAACGCACACATGGGACAGATACTACCTCCAATTGGTGGTCTTGGACTTTAGCTAGTGTCTCATCTTTGATCAGCAGCTATTTCTAACATTTTCTGCTCTACATAGTCTCTCTATTCTTTTCCTCTTGTGAGCGAGTATATCTCTTCTCTCACTTTAGAGAACTCCCTTTGTTTCTTGCTTCCTTACTCATAAATCTATTTCCATTTACCTCAAGTTTGGCTTAGTTCCCCCACCTTTACGTCTCCAAAGCATGCCATAGATCCCACTCCTGCTCCTTCCCCCTAAGCATACAAACTTAGGTCTTTCCCAAGTGAAAGCAAAACAAACAAACTTTCCTCACCATGTACTGGCTTCGAGTCACTAACCTCTCTATCCCTTCATGGTAAAACTTCTAGAAAGAACAGTGCAAATTCTGTTTTCCTTATTTCTCATTCATTCCTCAATCTAACACAATCTGAATTTTACTCCTATGAGACCACTGTTCTTCCAATTATGTGTTGTTTGTAACTTGTTGGACATGCTGGTCTTCATACATCTACCATGCAGTTGCTCTGCCTGGGAATATGCCCTGGCTTTCTTCCCCAGACCCCTTTCTTCCCTAGTTACCTAGAAAGCTGCACCCTTATTCTCTTAAGTTTAAATGTTACTTCCCCTGGAAAGCCTTTCCTGGCTCCTCCAGGTACACTTGTCCTGTTCCTCTAGTGTTCTTCCTATATTTTGTTTAGACTCTGTGTGGTGGCTCAGTGCTTGCAAAGACACTGGAAGTTGAACTAGGACCATAAACAACAGGAAATATGGGAGTGGGTGGTAGTAAAGGTGGTATGTGCTTGCATGCGTGTGTGACTGCACAGCTGGCCTGGGCTAACCCTCACGCTATACCTGCAACAGAATCTAAGGCCTTCTGACCAATGTGTCTGCTTCCTCTCACCTTACCAAGGTGGT